TTCCCTCTGAAAAGGTCTTCCTAGAAATCCTGCCAAGTAACTTTCTCTTTGGCAAACTCTAGCTGCAAAAGAGACTGAAAAATGTGATCTTTCACCCGGTTCCACTATTAAGGAAGAAGGGGAGAATGAATACGGGATAGCAGCTGACAGACAATAATTTAGTTCTTAGGGGGTAAACGAGAAGGTAAAAATCGTGCATATTGGTTTGTGAGCTGAGATTCACATACCACGTTCTGTCTCCACTTATAGATTGTACACTTATAGAGAAAACAGGTCCATTTTTCTGGTGTTTACAATTTTATCCAAACATATAGCCCAATGTCTGCTACTCAGTAGGCAATGAATATTTGTCGAGTGAATGAATAACATAATTTATGAAGAAGTAATGGATAAATGAGTATACATGGCCTTTCACCACTCAGCATCACTCAATGTTTTAATGTCATGTGATAGTCTTTAGTGCTGTTTACTGAGTATTTCTGGAGCTTTATGTCTGGGTACGTGGTAGGATTGCATATACAGCATTCTTTGTGTCTGGGTGAAGCCACATGATTGTGGCCACATGATGAGCCAAAGTAACCTGTCTATATTCTGGGCTCCAGGATATAACTGCCAACGTGAGATCCACTGGAGCTCTCATTCCCATTGCCAGAGCACCCAACAACATAACGCTGCAGGTTTTTCCAACTGCCTGGGTCTCTGAGAAAGGTGACATGAAGCAGCTTCATGCCATGAACTGCAGTGAGATGTGGCATAGGCAAGATCACATTCCCAAGATTCACGGACTTACTTTCCCCATCATACAAATGCAAACCCTTTTAATACAGTCAACTGAAGAGATATTTCACTTGCTATAAAATACAATAAATTTATGTTGTGGATTCACAGTCAATTTGACTTCCAAAACAAAATTTTTAAACATCAGTTAAAAATAATCAGTTTGATGTAATTACCGTAATAAACACAGTGTGAATAAAAATAGAACACTTAGGGTTAAACACATTTTTAGAAAAGTTTGTGCCTTAATATTTTAAAGAATCCAGAAATAGAAAGGTTTTTAAAATTTAAATAGTTGCATTTGAACCAAGGTAAATAATATCTTTATAACAAGTGGTACAATTAAAAGAGGTTTTGTTAATCCCTTTTGTTACACATATAAATTAATCATGTGAATATGCATTGACATGTAATTGTATAATATAAAACAGTATAGAAATAGGCATGTCTTTAAGAGACAAAAAATCTCACCGTGGTACCTTTAAAGTATACTAATCTGGCTAATCAGTTTTATTTCTCACTTTCTACACCTACAATTAAATGTAAATTTTGAAAATTAATTAAAAGCTATGATATCTTTTTACCCTGAAATTTTGTGGACAATAAAAACTAAATGTAACTTGGTTAATACCAAGTACTTTTATCATTCACAAATAGTACAATTAAAGCTTCTATTCTAAAATCTCAAGAAATTATTGCAAGACAATATTTAGCTTCTTCCAACAGAGCAGTTTTAGTTGCTTTTAAGCATTTTTCCCTAACATATGATTTCATGGTTATTATGTTACATGACTTGAATCCCCTGCATAGTAAGATACCCAACTGTATACATAAGACATGTTTGAGATTGGTTACACTTTTCTGGAAGAACTGATAATTTTCCATGAGAGTGAAAAAGATGTCACATTGAAGTCTATTGCTTTAGATGGTTAATGGATAACTTAATTATCCAGGCAAGAAGAAATAAATGGAAATAATTGGGCATCTCTTTGTTTATGACCCAATTTTAAAACCTCTATGTAGATAGTGTCGTCTGAATGCAGACTGGAACTGAATTTGTTAAAGGCTCTGAAATTCAGGGTGTACATACTATTTTTATTCTCCAGTTTATTTCTAAAATCAATCAATAATTTGAGAGATCTACTAACATCATTTCCTTAATATACAAATAGAAAAACCTAAAGAATTTAATGGGCCAATGTAGGCAGTGAAAGGATGATGCTGTGAAGGTTAAGATATTGCTGGGGTCACGAATCTTAAAAATTTGTAGATATTCCCCACCAAATTTTCCAGCTTGTTTTTTTTTTTTTTTTATCTCACAACACCGAATTTTTACATGATGTTGTATATTACAGACCAAATCTTCTCTATAATGATGCCAGAGAATACAAGGATCAAACATTACCAGATCAGCCACTGGCAATTCCAACACCTAGGTGTACAAACCTCATTTACTTTTTTCTTAAGAGTGGGCTTTCTCAATTGCATTGATGCAGTTTGAATAAGGTACCCAAATCATCAACATTCTAGTTTACACAATATTTCTTTTTAAAGGGTCTAAAAAGTCACCATTGACACATGACCAGGAGGCTGTTTGGTTGAGAAACCATATGCTCAATGAGACCATGAAAAATGTTATTGCAGGTGTGGCATATGCTTGACAAGCCATGCAGAACCAGCTGGGCCCTGCTTCCTCCAGGAAGCTCCAGCTGGGTGACGGTATGGCGTCTTTCCAAGGGCAATGGTTTCCTTTAGGACACCAAACAGTCTAAAGAATTTAGACTGGATCCATGTGATCACCATGCAGACACATACTGTGAGTAGAAGTTGATAGTGGGCCCAGCCTGATATTTCCCCACAGTCTTGTTCTTTGGTATCCTTTAAGGCACCCATTCCCAGATCCCAGTTTGCACATTGCTGGTCTCTTTGACTTGACCTTTTTTCTAATGACAAAATATTCAGGTTCCACAATTATTAGGTGTCCACCCTGTGCCTCTTTTGACCTCAGGTAAGTTAAACCTATTTCCTTTCTTACCTTCTTAAAGGAGGCTTAATCGAATTTTTGGACTTTTCCTACTGAAGAAGTTCTTAGGATTTTTGCCAAAAGAGATTTGAAATATCACATGAAATGATGTACTCACCTACCTCACCACCACCTACAAATAACAGAATTACATAAATAAAACATTAAATAAATCGCACTTTGCTACAATTTATGGAAGGTAAATTTAACAAGAGCTGGCTCATTGCAGGAAAATTCAACTTATCTTTTCCAGATCCTTTTATTCTATACAGGGAGAGAAATTTATGTCAGTTAAAAAAAAATCTATTACTGCTTCTCATAACTGAATCCATTATTTTTCTCTATGATCCATCAGGTAAAAACAAGAATAATAGATTGCTTTGACAGAACCTTGAACATAAATGTCCTCAAGAATCAAATGCAGTAAGTTAAACAGATTTCAGGTAGTATTAGAACTGGAAAAGATAACCTTCTTTTTGTACTTCAAAACCAGATCTTACTAAAAAACATTATTATTAGCTACTACAAAGAGACAAATTATAAAGTAGTTGAACTTGCATAAGATGGGAATATTTCCAATCATTCCTATATATGCCCAAGCAGAATTGAACCTGAAGAAATGAATTTGAAGAAAAGGGGCTATTTTCTTTTAATTTTTGCTAACTGATTATTTATAATTTGTTCTTGATTACACTAGACTTGATGACTTTGAGTAAGTAAAGTTGTCCTATACATAGTCAACTGATTAAAAAGATTAGTGTTGACCTTATCTTACATTTTCTCTTCATAAAGGAATCAAATGGTTCTATAATCTTTAGATCCACATGACCCATTTTACTCTAAGGTCTTCAGAAAAGTTTGAGTATATACGCACACACCTATCTGCTATACATAGAGAGATAGAGACAGAGAGAGAGATTGAGAGAGAGAGAAAAGAGGGGCGATGAGATGATGATGGTAGACAGACAGGCAGATACAGAGACAGACAAACACACAGACAGATAAATTCTAACAGTTAATTCATCTCAGGGGCTGTTCTACTTAATGGACACCTATTCAGTATCTTATATTCTCTCATTTTGTTCAGATAAGCCAGCCTCCCAACTTGTCTCCAGGGAAGGTGACCACACTCCCAGCTTCAGTGTTAGAGCCTATTCTAGGCCAATCAGCACATAGCATTCACATTAAGTCTCTTATTGGTCCAGTGCTGGGCATGACTCAAGTTTAACTGAACAGTAAAATGAGAATGTTATTTATTCAGGCTTGGGAGAGGTTTCCCATTTTTTCCTGCTGGATGTGGATAAGAGAACATGGAACCCCAGTTGCCACTGGCAGCCATCTGTGACCATGAGAAAGAGGACAATGCTGACTGCACAGGGGAGGGCTGGAAAGGGTTGGGTCATTGCTGACATCATTGAACTGCTACTGACATTGTGCCTGGAGACCTCCCTATGTCCTGTCTTCCAGCTGAAAGAGTTTACAGATTTTTTTGTTTAATTCACTTTGAATTAGGGTTTTTGTAACTGTTCAGATATGCTCTTCTCCTTTAAAGAAAGATAAGAGAACATACTCAACATATCCTGTTTTCTCCTAGTTGTTTCATTCATATTGCTTTACACCAGAAGGTCTTTGAATATATTTGATTTTGAAACCACTGTGAAGTCTCCTTAGTCATCTAATGAGGCAGGGAATTTGGTAACACTCATTGCTTAAGACAGTAACACTGTTATAATCATTAATTTAAATTTAAGATGAGTAAAAACACTTTTGTTCTACAAGACCAAAAAAAAAGTTTCATAACCAAGTTCAGACATTATTCCTAGCCTTTAGACCTGAAATAGAGCTTGACCTGTTTTGTTGTCAATTTAAAACTCTGGTCTGTACGCCAAAAGATATTTCTTTTCTTTCTTTCTTTCTTTTTTTTTTTTTTTTAATTACTCAGAAGTCCCAGGCCATAGCAGTCCTACTGCTCTCTTCTCATTTTCCTAAGCTATTTTGATAACTATTTCTCTGACTTGAGCTATTAGATGTTTCTCACATATTTTTGTAGATAATAACTCATCAGCTTTGCAACCTGATTCTTCACATTAAGAGATTAAAACTAATGTAGATGATTCTCTGATGACACATACTGAGGTATAGAAAAATTCCATCATTTCCTTCTACAAAATGAGAGAGATTTTAATTCTTTTACTCAGCAGCTGCTTCATTTTTTTATACATAGAAAAAAATATGTGCAATTACTCCAAGTACAATCAAGTCATTTAACATGGCTTTACCATCATTGTAGTTACAGGATATTTTAAAAGAGAAAAAGAAAAATCTCAAAGCACAGGTCCTGCTGTGCAGCAAAGCAATCAGATTCCTTCATAATAAGAGCCTGATGGAATTCAGCGATTCAAGGAATAATGAATAACCACCCTAATCAGTAAACAGGAAAATGTTATCACAGTCACTGAGTAAAAATTGACTATCATCTGTTGATTCTCTTGATCGGCATTTCAAACAATAAGTAAAAATTTAAGTATCTCTTAAAAAGAAAAGTAACTTTGTTCTGTGTGTTTGATTTACCAGGCAGTGGGAAAATGATATATCATCTTAGACTGTCCTGCAGTATTGCCCAGTCAATAAAATGCACATATAATCTATTTTATAAGACATGGTCAAATTTACCCTATCACTTGAATAGGTCAAAATAAATTGATTTTGCAGTTGGTTGATAAGGTTGTATTTCTGGACTGATGATTCAGTATTTTGGCTACTTCATTATTTGGTGTGCTCATTTAGTGTTCATCTTATGAATTATTTGTATCTGAATATAAAGAGTCTGCTTCAAAATAGTCCTCAAGTTTCCAGTGCAGTGTCTCAAATGTTGGTCGTTCCTTAGGCTCTGCATTCCAGCACTCCAACATGATGCTGTAGAATTTCTGTGGACAGTTAGATGGTTGTGGGAGTCTATAGTTTTGACCCAACAACTGGATTACCTCAGCACCTGTCTTACCTAAAATATATAAAATAGAACCAACAAAAAAACAAGTTAAAGATCAGAGTCTTAAATTCATAGACACTTATACTCCACGTTACAAAGCAAATCAACTCCTTGGTGAAGATATGAGGTCTACCATCCCCTTCCCATGTTGCGAAGATTAAACTAAATCTCATGGCAAGTAATGTCTATAAGACTGCAATTCAAGAGTAAAGGAGAAGGAAGCAATAAACCAGCTCATTAATGCAAATTATCATCATCAAATTTTATCTATCAAGCTCTCCCAAGCACACGGTGTGGTCAGCCTCATAACTCTGCCCTCTAAGTCTGGGCAAAGCAGTTAATGTCACACCTAAGTAAGTGACCTGCAGCAGAAAGGCCCACTTCAGAATTAATTACTCACCACTATAAGGCATTTCACCATAAGTAATGATTTCGTAAAGAAGGATTCCAAATGACCATACATCAGACTTAATGCTGAATTTATTAGTACGAATGGCTTCAGGTGCAGTCCACTTCACCGGCAGCCTTATTTCGTGTGTAGATTCATAGATATCTTCATTATCTACCTGTTAATGCGTGAAGGAATTAAGCCAAGTTAAAGTAATTTTTTTGCCACACTCTTTCATCTATAACCACTTCACATTAAAATTTACAGGGAAAAGATTCAAAATGAGCTGAGTTCAATTGACAAATTACAGTAGCAAACTCTTAATCTGACATACAAGACTGAAAAAACCTGTAGGAAGCCACTAATAAAATGTTATTTGAGAGCCTACCATATGCTAAGAATAGCACTTGAAGTTGCATTTTTCTAGATATGGGAGAATTAATACATGGTGATTCTGGTTTCACATCTGGTCTTTAGCAAATTTAATAAAAAAAAATTGAAGCAAAGCCTGTCTGTTTTTTGATTTACTGCTGGTATTGAAGAGCCACTGACTTTGATAATTACCATGTAACCACTTGCTAATACTGAAAAGTAGGATCCAAATGATGTAAATTAATATATCAACTCACTGGGGTTCCAATTAATTTACAAAAAGAAAAGATGAGGAATCCATGGGGATTAAAAGGGAGTCATTTATTAGTTGTGTTTCATGACCCACATCCATATTTTTAGTGTACAATATAGAAATCTGAAATTAAAATCAGAGAAAAACATCTAATATTATATCTCCTATGTCAGTGTGTTTTGGACTGATGTCACAAAATGGGGGAAAAAACTAAAAGCCAATGGTTGCTGAAGAATTCTGGCAGCGTGCAAGTTAGTCTGGCATAAGGTGAGCAAAGGTGGACAGGATAACTGAATACAAAGTGTACTGCTTTTTGTAAAGGAGATAAAGACAGACAAACAGAGGTTACTGGTGCTAAATGAAAAATAGATCATTAACTACAAACTTAATTATATACTTTGCAATCTCGTTGGTCATTGTTTTCTCTATTTTTTTCCCCTTGGTGTGGAAATAGGAATGGACAGGTAATTTGTCTGTAAGGTCTTAGGCTATTAAGACCTGTGGTCTTAGGACCACAGAACTTGGAGAAACATTGTTTTAAAGAAAACAGTAAATCTATCAGTCGACTAGTCTGTTAGGCTTTTGACCTACTACATATACTTATTAATACAAAACTAAATTCACCTTAAAAACTCTTGCAAGTCCAAAATCTGCTACTTTGTAGATATTATGTTCACCAACAAGGACATTTCTGGCAGCCAGATCTCTGTGGATGTAGTTCTGGGACTCCAGATAGGCCATTCCAGAGGCAACCTGTGCCGCCATGTCTACCTGTTGAGTCAGATGGATTTTTGACCCAGCATCATCTAAGCAATAAGAGAAAATATGAGATTTACTTTGGAGGACATTTGAACTATTGACATAAATTCTGAAAATTTTCATGAATAAGCTATCAGTCGGATTAAATGCAATAGTACTGATCTGTTGGGCAAAAATATATATAATCAATACAATTTCATTTGCTGTGAAAAGTTAATAAGACAACAATTTTCAAAGTCCAGACATATTCCTAAACTGTGGTCCTCTGTTCTGTGATTGATCTTTACACAGAGAAAGGAGCAAAAGTATCACAAGACCCGAACTATGCTTCAGTTATATGAAAAAGTCTGGTTATTGCCATTTTTCAATACCATATATCACTGACTCATCTCTCCATGAAAATTGTTACATAGCTGCTTCTGGATTTCTTTCAAATATTGCATAATTTGTTTTAGCCACTGAACCTATAAAACAATCCTAATTGCATGGCTGAGCCAATAAAGTTCTCATTCTTTCGTCATATTGTTTTTAAAACTAGCTTACTAATAAAAATGAAGGGTCTATCAGTAGTTACAAAATGTGCGTATTACATTTGTACCATCATGATTGATATATATTTCTATTTCCCTTTCTTAGTCTGTTATTCTTAGAACAGGTTGCTCATCTCTCCAGGTGTGGACAAACCTTTAACAGGCAGTTTCTTCTACTGCACATTCTGTATAACTAAGTATAGGAAATTTATGTAGTAGGATCAGTTCAATTATTTTCAGTGATGACTATTTTGTGGTGACTTTTTGAAATGGAATAAGTCATCGTTGGGTAGTGTTTAACTGCCATACTGTTGGTAGATGTCGTCAGGTTTCTGGAGGATTAAAATCATCTCACATAAATTCAAACTATTATTATCCCTATCTGCATAAGCTGAATACATTACATAAAGTCTATTGGACTCATGGTAAGAGTCTTAGAAATGGCTCTGACTTGAGAGACAGCTATAGTATAGGGGTTAGGAAAACTGGTTTGAAGCTAGAGTGCCAGACTTTAGATCAAGGCCACACCCCATATTTCTTTGTGACCTTGGGCAAGCAGCTTAACACTCCTGTGCCTCAGTTTCCTCATCTGTATAGTGATAATAGTAACCACCTTATGTATGAGTTGTTGAAATGAGAATTAAAAGGAGCTGGTACATGGAAAGCACCCTAAAGAGTGTTTGGCACCTAGGAAGAACTCAACAGATCCTACCTGTTATTATTATCATTGCTTCTACCTAATCAAAGTGAAACAGTTTGAGACTTGTTAAGCCAGAGATTCCATATGGATTACCCATGTGGAAATACCTGAAAGAAGACAAGCACATGAGTCTGGAGCTCAGGAGAGACTACACAGCTGGAGAGACAGATTTCACAGTCATAGTTTGTGAGTGGGAGTGAAAACATTAGAAGTGGGTGAGATTGCTAGGAAGTTACAGAAACATGAGAAACACAAACATGTAGGTAGAGAAAGATAAACCTGCAAGAAAACTGAGAAAAATCAGCCAGGAGAATAAGAGAAGAAAACTGGTAGAGAACATTGTAAAAAGTAAAAAGTTTTGAGAAAGAGAAAGTCGCCATCATAGTCAAATTCTACAAATAAGTCTAGGAAGATAAGGACCAAAAGATATTTGTTAAATATAATAATTAGAGAGTCATTTGCTGATGGATGAGCACTTTCACTGGACATAGAAAGTAAGGAGTTGAGGACGTGGAGACAGCAAGAGGAGATGGCAAATTCCAAAACCCTAGTCAAGAATGATCTAATCAAGGTAAATGTAAAGTCAAGGGAAGCAATTATTGTAAAATTCAGAACTGTCAGGGGTTGTTATTGATAAAGTATTCAGAGGCTTTCCAGGGTAACGGCCACATTCTAATTCTTGATTTGGGCAGTGGTTGCACAGAAGCAGTATATTAAATAAAATGTGAGGCAAAACTAACTGCTCACCTATCCTTTTGTCCTTTCTGTTCTTCCTGGCACACACAGAAGACTACATTTCCCATCTTGTTTTGCAGTTAACTAGTTCTGGGTAATGCCATTTGTGTAGAAACAATGCACATTATTTACAGGCCTGGCCCTTAAAATCTCCCACATCTTTGCTGCTAAAGGATGAACTGCAAAATGGTAGAGCCACATGATGGAAAGAGTTTAAAGCCCTCTGTCACTCCTTAGAGAAAGCCATCTGGAAGAGCAGTCTGATCCATATCAAAAATATCTATTCTTTTGTTTTAAGTCACAGAGAATTTTGAATTGTATGTTATAGCAGCCAACATTAATTATTCAGTCTAAAACAAGATGTAAGCATGAAAATAAAATATAATTTAGTCTGCAGCATAATGGCAAAGCACCGCTGTTGTGATGGCCAAAATAGCTATGCCTTTTGCTATGAAACTCACTCAATAAGAAAAGAAACATGAAAATTAAGCCAAGCTGGTGATTAACCACAAGCTATTTGGTAGACGGACCCTAAAATGTTTCCCAGTGATCACTTCCTCCTGGTGTTCATGCCCTGTAAATCCCCCTTCCATTGAGTGTGGTCTGGACTTAGCAACACGTTTAACAAATAGAATATGGCAAAAGTGATGGGGCACCCCTTCCAAGATTAACTTTGTCTTACTGACACTCTCCACCCCATTGTTCTCTCACTTGCTCATTTTAATGAAGCAAGCTGCCGTGTTGAAAACTGCTCTATGGACAGGTCCATGTAGCAAGGAACACAGGCATCCTGCTGCCAGCAACCAGCAAGGAACCGACTTCCTCAATCCAACAGCACAGGAGGAACCAACTTCTGCCAGCAGTCATGTAAATGAATTCAGATGTGTTTCCACCTCCACCAGAGCGTTCAGATGATTGGGGCACCTGCTGACACCTTGATGGCAGCCTTATGAGAGACCTGAACTAGAAGACCCAGTTAAGCTGCACCTGGATTCCCAGCCACAGAAAAACTGTGAGATAATAAATGTTTTCTGTTTTTAAGCCACTAAGTTTTGGTGTATTACACTGAGCAGCAACAGACAATGAATACCTGTACAGGTTGATGTTAGGAAAATAACACCAGTGCTATGCATATGGTCAAAAGCATGAACTCTGGAGCCAGACTTCCATGTTGGATAAGTTACTTAGCCTACCTCAATTTCTTAAAAAAACTGTAATATGGGGATAATAATAATACTAACCTCACAAGGTAGTTAGAGAAATGAACTAAGTTAATATTTGTAAAGAACTTAGAAAAAATGCCTGTCACACAATAAGTGCTATTCAGTGTTTTCTTAAAGAAAAAATTTAAGTATATATGTTCTTTTCCTATCACTATCCCATATGGTTGATTTCCAGTAAAGAACCTAATTTAATACTCAGAACAACTATATGAAGTAAATATGGTTATTATTCTCCCCATTTCATAGGAGTTCCTGCTACTCAGAGGAATAGGTAATAAGCTTTAGAAATTCAAATCCAAGTGCTCATTCTCTCAAGAACTATTCTATACTGTCTCCCTAAAACTTGCCTTACACATGACTCCTGAGCACCCAAAAGTCAAGGAATAATGGAGAGACTTCCTTCTATACGAACAGCAAAGAGTTGTGTAGTTCTATTCAGTTAAAGGGCATCTCAATGAAAATATTCCTGTCTACTTCAGTCCACATAAGTGAACTGCCCGTGAAAATGATGAACAACATGAGAGGACTTATAAAAATAGAAAATGTTTGCTGTTCTTTAAAAAGTACTTAAATGCCTGACATATATTAGATGCTGTATAAGTATTTATTGGGAAAAAAAGTCCAACTAAGCTAAAAAAAAATAATGCAGATATTTATCCTCTTTAATATAATTAAGAAATACCTGTCATCAACTACCCTCAGTGCTAACATTTTTTGACAGGCCTCTACCATTTTGGAGAAATCTATTACAAGAAAATATTCAGCTAAGCTTAGGGACTACAAAGATGGTTATATAGAAAAATATGTATGCTATTTCAGCTATCAAATACAACATCTAATCCTATTATAGTGGATATAAAAGGGTTTCCACTGGCAGGCACAATACTGGAGGAAATTGTGTAATACATATTTTCTGTCCTGAAGAGTGCAGTGGCCTAGGAACTGCCTAAGTAAATCTCAGAGCACACTTCTAATACAAGCACCATTCATTCATCAAAACTGATGTAAAGATCCACAAATCTGTGACAATTTACGTCTGCAGCAAGAAAATATTTTCAATTATGTTCCATTACTCAACAGTCTTTCAGCTTAATAATATTTAACATATTGGGCTGCTTAAGAGTGGTAGATTCATTTTAACATCACTCTATTAAATTTATACCCTCTTGATTGGGAAGGGATTGTCTGTGGTGAGCATATCTTCATTACTCTTCCTGGCTGCTAAGTATCCTCACAACTGAAGGCTTCGGTAAACTTGACCCTGATGGCTAACCCAGAAGATGATAGGATTTGCACTCAACCCTGAGTAAACCACATCAACAAGCTGTAGAAATTCTCAATGCCAAAGGAGTTTGCCTTGCAGTACGTGGATCTTTTCAAGCTAACATCAAGAGTCTCAAAACAAACTTGACCCCAAGTGCCAATCTTATTAGGTTCAGGATGGTCCCAACTTAATCTATTCATACAGTCAGTCAACACACAATTAGCACAAACCTTCTATTGTTCTAGTACTAAAATGAAGAAAAATCTCTGCCCTCATGGAGTTTGTATTTAGAAAATACTAAAATTAAGTTAAATAAACAAGTCATGCAAATATGAAATAATTAATAGCTAAGGAGAGAAAACAAAAAGCAGGGAGAGAAATACAAAGAGTCAGTGGAAAGAGATTAAATTTTAGAATTTAGAGGATGACTGGTGAAGGACCCACCAAGATGGAAATGTCTGAGTAAAGACTTTCAGGAGATGAGAAGTGAGCATGTGGCTAAATAATAGAATTCAGGCAGAGGAAACAGCCAGGACAAAAGCATGCCTGAAGGGCAGCAGGAATAGCAAAAAAAGTGTAGCCAACACAGAGTGAATAAGGGGAAAGTTGAAAGAGATGAAGTCAGACAAGTAATGGACATCCAGATCATGCAGGACTTTGTCATTATACAGATAAGAACCAACTGGAGTCAGTGAAGGTTTTGAGTTGAGGAAGGACGTGCTATGATTTACATTTTAACTGCATCTCTCCAGCTATTGTATTAAATAGAAGAGACTAAAGGGGGCAAAAACCAAAAGAGGGAGACCAAAATTAGGAAGCTAATGCAGAATCCAGGAGAAAGCAGATTCAGGAGAGGATTGGTTCAGGGTTGGAGCATTGAGAAGTAAAATCCTGGACATATTTTAATGGCAAGCCAATCGGATTTGCTGTTTGGTTAGATGTGGGATATGAGAAGTAGAGATGACTCCAAGGTATTAGGGCTGAGTGTTGACACTGTCAAAGAAAGAGGGACCACAAGAATAGCACATTAGTGGGGAGAATACAAAGAAATCAGTTTGGCACATGTCATTTTGAGACATCTAATGAACACATGTAGTAGAAACTAGGGCTTTTCAAAACACTGTAGAGGATCGTACTTCCTAACCTTCTTTGGCTTGATTTGGCTAAACGAAAAGGGAACAGAAGTTACCTCTGCCAGAAGCTTTAAGAGCCAGGGTGAGATTAGTCTCATCCCCTTCCCCTGCCAGCATGATCAAAACAGCTGAGCCATCAGCCAATCTATTTTGCACATATAGCATGAACAAGAAATAAAAGCTTGTGTTACACCTCTGGGATTTGGGGACTGCTGGTTACTGCAGCATACCTACATTATCCAAACTGATACAACATTCTAGTGGAGAAGTTAAGAAAGCAGTTGGCTATAAGATTCTGAAGTAAGGGAGAAATAAAATTTAGGGAATTGTCAATATATAAACAATGGGATTGGATGAGATTAACAAGGGAACTGGTGATTTTGTAAAAGAGTCCTGGAGAACACCAAGATATCGAGGTCTAGGAGATGTAGGAAATCACATAGATTGAGAAGAACCAGCAAGAAAGGAAGGAGGAAATGCCACTAACTGAAGTGTCCTGGAAGCCAAATGAAGAAAGTTTTCCAGGAGGAGAATGTCCTTTGAATTAAATGCTGCTTATAGGTCTGAGGACTGAGAACTGTCTATTAGATTTAATAACATGTATATTATATGACCTTTATAAAGCATTTTTGTTAGGTATGACCTAGGATCACATCTGTACTTTGTCCTGGGAATAAGGCAAAAGGGGTCAATGGCTAAGGTTAATCTTTCTATAGTGGGTAACATATTCTGATGCTGTTAAACTTGATATCTTTATGCAAGGGAGTTAGGTATGTTTTTGTCTTTAACAGCATTTAACAGGACTTATTATGTTTTTTGTTCTTCTTATCTTTTTTACAATTTAATATTACAAGCTTCATAAGTCACCCAGAAATCAGAGAATACTCTTATCTTTCTGAAATCTTTGTTCCATTATCCTCACCTCCTTTTACCTCTACACATTCTATCAATCCCATCCTGACATTTCAAGAAATTACAGAGAAAGTCTCTTTTTCAAACATGAATTATTCTCTCAGTTCTTGGTCATAACTTCTTTGAACATCTCATTTTAATGCTTACTATATTGTTGTTTATTAAATTATTCATTTGTAATAAAGACCAAAATTTCACAATGACCTTAAGCCTTCTCTGACTACACAAAATATATGTAGAAAAAATAGTACATTTCTGCTTTTTAGTCTGAAAATTCTAATGCTGCCTAGCAGTGGAAGTATTTTAAGCACCAAGTTCAATGTTGTCAAATATTGGCAAAGAAAAAAAATAGGATTCCCCTCTCACTTTTTTCCAAAAGTATTCCATGCCCCTAAATTCTGTACCATAGAAAATATTGGTTCATGACTGATAATGTTCAATTTAGCGTAAGAAATAAAGCATCATGCAAAACATCCATTCTTCAATTTCCCACATTACATTTAAGTACTGATATGTTCTATTGTGAACAATTTACTCTTCCACCACATATTTTTTCTCCCTTTGAGTACACAGTATATATCCTATTAAATAGTAGTTGAGACATTCAATGTTAAGACATTTATTCTCACTGATCTACACATAGTAAATATCCTTTGGGTTATAGAAGTCTTGCTAAATTGACATTTATAGGGCTAGCTAAACTAAATTCCTCTTTTTTTCCCCTTTTTATTAAGTCTTTAGCTTACTTTGGAGATATTCTTGCAGACTTCCATGTCTCATCAACTCCGTAATAATATAAATTGGATCTTCTAAAGTACAAACAGCGTAAAGCTGGATAAGCTTTGGATGTCTGAGGCTCTTCATTATCTGTGCCTCCCTCAGGAAGTCATTTGGATCCATTGAACCTGAAACAAGAAGAGGGGAAATCACTTTATGTTATTGAGGCATGCTATCCCCACAGCAGCCTGGTGGGAATCACCAAGATTGCCTCCTGCCTCTCAGTAAAGTAAGAGCATCAGTGTCACAAATCTCAGAGTTATCAAAGAACACAATCAGTTCAACCAGGGAAACCTAATAACTGGGTGTGTTGGTGCATCAGGGGTGCACAGTTTACGTGCTACGACCTGTAAGTAAAGAGAGGTTGTTCAGGCCTTATGAAAAATGAAGGAAAAAGGAGAGACTGACAGTTTAATTGATAAAATGAGGCAGGCATCTTAAGAACACAAAGAAAACATTTTATTAACATGAACACTGGAGGACACTAAGTGTTTAATTACTGCAGCCAGAGCTTTTTCTTTCGGGATCCAGGGAAGACTGACAGCTGCCCTATCCTTGGTATTCACTGTGGGAATACCTGAGTAACAATCCTGAGACAATGACATTCTCCCATATTTATGTCCTTAATTCTGTAGGAACACAGGGTATAGGCTAAACAGGAAACATTCAAGGGCCATCCCCAAAAGTTATTGGGGGGTTTTCACCAGTTTTATATGTTTAACTTGAAACTGATTCAACATTTTCTCCTGTATTATCTGCTTCCTCTGTCAGAGCCTTAATAGCTTGAGCAAATGATAAGGGAGACAGTTTGGGGGCCTATTTTGAAGACTCATCTACAATTAAATTCTGTTTAAATGGCTCATTCTGACTCACCATGCAAGGTGCCAAGTAGTTACCATCAAATAAAACCTGAGAGGAGGAAGGATACCTGGAGTTTACATTTCATCAGTAATTTTTTTTTTCTTTTAAGATATGATGTTTCATATCTTAAATATCATTTCCACTGATGCCCAAATAGACCCCTTCATTCATCAAACTCTCCCTGTTGCAGACTTCACAATGTATATTTGAACCAAGGATTGAATAAGCTTTGACATTCTACAGTAACACTGAGACTTGTCTATAAGTGTGAAGTTAAGAACAGTTATGTGTGACCTACAGATCATGTCACACAAAGCATTTAGTCTGTCTACCCTTTGAGAGTCTAGAAGTTTAGAACCCACACCCAGATTCTGGACAATTCCCAGCTCTGCCACTAGCTTCCAGTGTGATCTTGAGCAAATTACCAAACCTCTCTGAACATCAGTTTCTTGATCTGTAAAACGTGGCTAATAATCCTACTGACATCAAAAGATCATTATTAGGATAATAGCAATGTCCGGCACATATGCATTCAGTGACTCTTGACCATTATTTGTAACCAAACAGACCAACTGTAAGTTTTTTTTCATAGGTTGAGGAGGGGAAGGGACAAGCATGTAAAGAGGCAGAATAGGGAAATATGGCCTAATCTCTTTTCCCTCATATTTTTCTGAGCTCCTTCAATTCCATCTCTACCATTGACTTACTCCATATAATTAAACAGGATTAAAACTTGGAATCAGAGTAGCAAAATGGAGCTGAGAATAAAAGACCATAATAAAGGACTTTGTTCTTGGTTGTTATAACTAAACCATAATAAAGGACTTTGTTCTTGGTTGTTATAACTAGTTTGGCTGATGGTTAAATATGGATATAGTGTAAGCTCCCCCAATCCTGCCCAAGAAGAATCCAATTCTTGAAGTTTCCAGTGATAGCACCAGTTATGATCATCATTCAGACAATTTATATATACATATTATGACGTTAATACTCTGAGTGGCCATCAGATTCATGGAATGCATGACACTCAAATCTTTCCCCACTCAGACTCCACAAGAGCTGAAATCATGTACTGCAGGTGAAGGCTATTCAGAGCACTCCTTCATGGCTATGCTGGTTACAGCCGACCAGTTGCAAAGCAAAGAGACCCAATCTCAACTCAGCTAGTAATGCAATATTAAATATTAATTTTTGCCTGTCAGAGCTACTGTGAGAGTTGATTTCAGGCTCATCTTTATTGCGTGGTAGTCTGCAAAGCAATAAAGAGCCGCTAAGATTGATTAATGGCCCCAGCAAAGTGAAGACATTTAACCAATCACCAAAGCTGTTTGCTGCTATTACACTCTAAATCAATAATAATTATTCCTGTTGGAGAGAAAACTACCACGGCTTTTTTTTTAATATAAGAAGTTTTATTCTTTGTTCTCTTTTGACCTCCAGAAGGCCGTCCTTAAAGAGCAATGTTAGAAAGGCTAGCTAGCTGCCTCTTTTGGAAAAGAATGATTAGATTGGACAATAAGGTTTAGTTGCAATTATCAACAAAATTAGAATTTAAAAGCATATACACACAGTGATTGTGAAAATCTCAAGTGCTGGAATAGAATGCCCTCACCTAAGCACTTAAAAGTGCCTCTGTGTTGTTTCATCTGGCACTTGTAAATGCTTGAACTGAACTCCTGCCCTAGCGAATTTGCACCTTAGTGGATGCATCTGTCAGGAGCGCCATGGAAACTAACATCTATTAAGAACTCAACTGCATGCACTTTATGTACATTGACTCAATTTGTCCTTGTAAAACCTTATAAAGTCAGAACAATTATAATTCCCACTCCCAGCTGAAGAGATTCAGAAAGGTTAATAGATGGTCCAAAGTTACAGAGGGCAGAGTCAAGTTTGAATTCAGGTTTATCTTACCCCAAACTTTATGCTCTTAACGGGTATTCCAGAGGGTTCCAACATTTTCAGTTCATGGCACCCTTAGTGTCCCAGTAACTTTTTTCGCAAAAATGCCCCTAAGCCAAAATGAATACCTAACAGTTCTTTCAATTACTTAGTTAGATGCAAAGAACTTTAGAAGTACTTGTCCTAACAGTAGCCATTTGAAAAAGTAATACAGGTAAATTGAAAGGAAAAAAATATTGTTTTTATTTCATTCTTAATCACAGTTACTTATTAAAGTAATATGAGGGGTCTTCAAAAAGTTCATAGAAAAATTAGTATCATCTTTCAATTCTACTTTTCTAAAAACATTTTGAAGTATATGCACCTCCTGGGCACTACATAACTTCTCAAGTTTTTTTTTTTTTTTCCTTTTTGTCTTTTTTTCGTGTCCGGCAACGGATCACAACCCTCAGTGTCGCGCCTGTACCAGACCGGGACCGGCAACGGGATCGCAACCCTCGGTGTTGCGCCCACACCTCGCTCAGCCAGTGAGCGGGAACCGGTCTGTATGTGGGATCCGAACCCTCGGCGGGAGCGCTGCTGCGCTCCCAAGCGGCGCACTGTAGCAGTGCGCCACCGGGCCGGCCCAACTTCTCAAGTTTTAAAATCAGATTGAACACTGCTACCCTCATGTCCTGGTCCACACAGATTTTTTTGTGAATCTTTCATTTGATCACAGCGACCATCGGAAACCTAACTTCACAAAGATACGATGTCAGCAAAAGGAATGTGATATGATATAAAGCTGAAACTGCGAAATACTTCAAGGTAGTAGTTTGTGTAGGATTCAAGATGTTTACCTCAAAAAATTTAAATATCCACAGAGCTTCTATGAACTCACTGTAGTGCCCCATGTGCCCTGGCACTCAGTTTGGGAACCATGGTGTTACACTACACTACTAGTCAGCAAAAACCAAGTGCTCAAGTTCTGCCACCTGGAAGCTTTCCAAACCTCTAAGAATTGTGACCTAAATAAATAATGGAGGTCCTCAGAGAACTATAGTCTGGACTACGGTTACTCTTCTTACCTGTCTTATTAGAGGGGGATATGAGGCTCCCACAGAAATGTTGCACTTCTGTAGTCACTTCCATGGGGTGTGATGCAATAGTGATAGATGTGGGTTCGAATCCCAGCTTTGCCATTTACTGACTTTGTAATAATAATATTTTATTGGCCACTTATTATGAACCAGATACCATGCAAAGCATTTCCGCTAATGACCCAATTTGATCTTCATAGTGATCCTGCTAGGTTGGCCTTATTATTATTTCTATTTTACAAATGATAAGACTGAGGCATAGAGTAATTCAAAAATTTGCTCAAGATCATATGATTAGTAAGTCTTAGGAAAGTTACTTAATCTCTCTAAAATAACTTACCCCACCTTTAAAATGGAGGGAATAAAGCCTGACTTAATAATTATTGATTTTGGTATACTTTTACTTGCCACCACAGGGAAAAAGAAGATGGAAGAAAAAAATAGTTCCTATGCTTTCAAATATGTGGTCTTTTAGATGGACCATTTTACCTTTTAACCATACACATTAGTATTTAGTAAAATTGTTGTTCCCTGAGTAGCACCAAGGTTCCATCAGATTTTTTAAGAGTATTTTCAGTTATATCAGTATTTCTTAACTAAAGGCTAGTGGGAAAAAGGGGAGACGGACATTGGAAGAAAGAATCCTAACTCTAGAGAAGAAAAACATTGTTGGAGTCTTGAATTGGGGATATTTTAAGACCTAGCTGATCCAGGGCACACACTCTTGCCTTTATATTTAAAGCCTTGTCTATAGGTTATGGTCACCTGGGCTAGAGAGAATTATTCCAACACTTGCTTGCTTCCCGCATTGGCCATCCAGTAACCACTTGGACATTTACAATTAAGCTCACAAACGTCAACACATGCCATTTAATCTTTGATGTTCTCACACCTGGTTTTAATGTTTTGACCGCCACTGGAGTTGTATTGTTCCACAGGCCTTCCCATACTTCGCCAAACTGACCAGATCCCAATCGCTTCAGAAGCTGTACGGAGTTGCGGTCTATCTCCCACTGGTCCACGGTTTTATATGACAAATCAAAAGGAGCTGGGACCTGTACCTGTTTCACAGAATAATAAGAATACTTGTAAGAAAAAAGAAATGGTAGATGTAACTATTTTTTTTATTAAAAATAATAGTCTAGGTACTTTTTAAAGGAAACATTATTTAAAACAAAATATTATAAATTGTATTCTAATTATTTTAAGACACAAAAAATGTGGAGAATCTGCATTAACTCTTAAACTTGATTTTCCCCAAATCCTGCTAAGTCAGGCACCTCATTGTTCATCTGTCCCATCCTGCACCCAACAGTATCCTCACACAGGTCTAGAATGACTTCTCCCCACCTTTTTTGCCTAGTTAAAATCCTCCCAATTTCAAGGCCCAGTCGAAGTTCCACCTTGCCCACAAATCCTCCCCAAACGCTTTGGCTATAGTATTTATTACAGGTATCATGTATTTTTGAATAATTAAATTTTTAATCATTTTACAAACTCATTTTTCTCCATTTTTTTATTTGTTCATTCATTTAGTAAATAAATATTTTTAAGCATTAATTAGGTGCCATTCTGTAAACAAAACAGGCAAGGCCCCTGCCCTCCTAGAGCTCATAGTCAGGTTTACCATCTGCCATACTGTCTCTGTTGCAACTACTAAACTCTTCTCTTGTGGCACAAAATCAGCCAGAGACAATTAGTAAATGAATGAGCATGTCTGTTGTAATAAAGCATAATTACAAAAACAAGCATGAGACCGTATTGTTTCATGGACCACAGTTTGCCTGTCCCTGACTTAGGTAATCAAATGACAATTTTTTTTCTGAGCTGACATCACATGGCAAATACTCAAATACCTGATTAAAAAAAAAAAAAAAAAAAGTTAACTTCAAAAATGAATGAACACAGTGTGAAAACATTTCACCTTTAAGCATGGTTTTCCCAGCTTGACACATAGGCCATCACTCGTCCTGGTGTAGTGGCTCACAAACTCACTCAGTGTTGAAAAGGCTCTTCTCCGGCTAAGGAAAAAGCCCCCCTCATCCAGTTGTCTGATTCTGTAGTGTTTCACAACTCCTTCATCTAAAACTGGAGCCCAAAATAAGTTCTGTTAATAAATTTCTTGCCAAAGCCAAGCAGATTTATTTAGTTTGTGGTGATATTTTCAATGCACAGAACAAAATTTTCATAAAATTCTGTGTATTTCAAAAAATAAAAATAAAAAATTAATTAATTAATTAATTAATTAAATTCTGTGTATTTCTCAACTTTGCCTCAGAAAAGACTTAAGGAAGTTTACAAAGGATATATACAAAAAAAAAAAAAAAAGGGGGGGGAAAGAATTGAGCAATCATACTGAAGGAAATAAAAATAACAAAGAAGGAGCAAGGTTAACTGCCCCCCAAAAATCCATGCTTCGAGGCCTAGCATGCTTGATTAAAATAAGCCATAAAATTGACTCTATCATTCAAGCAATGCAAGGAAGAAAATCTCATCAGTTCCAGGAACCACAGTGACCATAAGATAAAATCACAAAAAGTGTTTAGAAACTGTTCAACTCTTCCTGGTATGGAGACCAGGGAGAAATTTCTCCTATGAAATCCTATAATGTGGAAATCAATAGTGTCTTCACTACTATCTTACAACACTATAAAGAATCCCACATTGCTGTCCATTGTACTGTCCTTCAATGCAGGCTGATAACAGAATGTCCCAGCACAGTCCAATAAAAGCAGTTCCACAGGGCCTAAAATGATGCAGTCCACATATGCAACTTTGCAGAGGTATTGCTTAATCCAAGGGTAAGTCATGCAGATCTGTAGCAATAAACAGACTTCATCATTTTTAGATATTCTGACTTGCAGTGGATGTTTTGTTACTTTTGCCTGCCACCAAGCATTGTCCCTTCCTCTGTTAACAGCACCCCAATATTCCCCAGAGAATGTTTTCTCCTCTAAGAGTGTGTGGTCCAGAGGGACCCTGTGCCACCCTAAGCTGAGGAAGATACAATCAGAGCAGTCAGAGCCAGAGAGCCTCAATTCCAGGACTTGTGTGAGGGAGCTCCAGGAAGACAAAGAGAGATTTGTTGTTTGTTTTTGTTTATGTTTTTACTGCTGGGAGTTTGTAGCTATTGGCAGAATCCTTTCCCCCAGGCAGGAAGCAAGCTTACCTGAGAAGAGAGGGAGCCCAGTGGAAAGCAGTCTTGGTATGGAAAGTGAAGCTTAGCCCCTGGGGCCTGCCAAGCCTGGCTTTTCAACTACAAGAGTCAATTAATTAGCTTTTTACTTACATTAGTTTGAATTGGGTTTTCTACATTGGCATTCAAAATATTGACAAATGCACATCATACCTATTCTTTCACTTAGCAAAGTTATTGGTAAGCATTGAGCAGCATTTACCATGCATAGAGCTATTCTGAGTTCTTTGCTAAATACAGAACTTTATGCTTCGATAAGCAGTCAGGTTGGAGCAATGCCCTCATGAAAGAAAGGAAGACTGAGTAGAAGACATCCCAATTCCCACATGAACGTTTACTGAGGGCATGCCAATGGCTAGTACAATATTTTCCTCGACAAACAATTGGCACAATCTGGAATAGCTAAAATAAGACAAACAATATCGAGTGTTGGCAAGTAAGATGTAACATCTCATACACAGTTAATAGAAGAGTGGTATTTACTACCACTTTGGAAAACTGTCATTATCTACTAAATTTGAATATAGTCATACCTATAACATTATGATCCCTCTCCCAAGTATAAAATCAACAAAAATGCACAATATATTCACCAAAACACATGTGTAAGAAGGCTTTTAGTGGCATTATTTGTAAGAGTCTAAACCTGTAAACAATCCAAATATCCATCAACTCATCAACAGAACTATCCAAATGTCCATCAGCTAATAAACAGTATATTTGTCCTGTGAAATACTATACAGATTTGTAAGTAAACAAACTAAAACTACACACAACATGCATGACTCTCACCAACACGAAAAGATGGTACTATTATTAAAAAGCTTTAAAGCAAACAAAACTATAGATATGCAGAGTCAGACAGTGACTGGGGTATTAGCAATATTCTATCTCTGGACTGGCTACAAGGGTGTATTGTGAGCATGCATCAAACTAAAGCCTGTGGATTGTACTCTTTTATTATGTGTATCATACACCAATTTAAAAGAAGACAAAAGGGTTGGCCAGTTAGTGCAGTTAGAGGTCAGTGTTACAACACCAAAGTCAAGGGTTCAGTTCCCCATATTAGCCAGCTGCCAAAAAAGGATACTAAATAAAAAAATTTTTTAAAAAGAGTTATCTGCTTCTGTTCATAGACAAATGGAAGATCAAGTCCCCAAACTACTACTTCCTGGTACGTGCTGAATTACTTAAAACTTACTAAGGTAAATGCTACCTAATTTTTACCCTGGATATAAAAATTCTCAGTAATGTACTTAGAGAACATTAACTTTAAACAAATTGATGTTCTAGTAAGCAGTGTGAAAAACCTGGTTAAAAACAGACTCCTAAATAGTGAATTGACTGGTGGTATAGGGGTATTTGTGGTAAGCCAGAAAAATACAGGGAATATCAAAGAAAAGTGAAGATTTTAGGTATACACTACTGAATTTGAAGGTAGCTTTTCTATAATAGCATCAACAACAATAATGTAACTAATACAGCAGACAAGCACAACTAATAATTTAATCATAACCTTTTCTTTTTCTTCCCAATGCTTTTTGATTTGTATTCAGTGAGGATAACACTCCCCTACCCCTAGATCAAAGCTCCAGCAAAGATTTTCCGCTTGCTTTTAGGTATTGGACAGCCCTAGTTTCACTTAAAATCAACTCAAACTTAGAATGCCCAGACCAAGAAATTAGCCAAAACACTGTATTACTTGATTAAAGGTCCAATCTTCTCCCCTTCCACACCCGGGCCTGCTCTAGGCTGAAAGGCAGCAGTGGAAAAGGTACTATGGGTAGCTTCCTCTCTGCTTCCGTCTAGAGCAGATCTCTCCCCTTCCCTTGCCAGCTGGGTTCTGAGTACCCTGGGTAAGAGCGGAGAGAGGAGAAGGGTAAAAGATGGGAATGTCCTACTCAGATCTGCCTGATGTCAGAGGGCTTCAGCTCTGAGCCCATGCTCTGCTGGCAGATGCTCAAGCCGACCTTTCTTTCAGGGACATACAGGCCCTTTGGAGCTTTGCCATCTCTGCAGGCTCTCTTTGCAGTTCCTAAGATGCATGTGCTTTCTAGGCTGCCTGCACCCCATCACCTCTCAGCTTGTTTCTCTGGCAGTTTACCCACCACACTATAGATCTCCCATTATCCTCTCACAGAAGCCCTCTTGGGCAGAACCCAAAAATCCTCCAGACCATCTATCTGCAGAGGATTCTTAAAGCAAATGTACTTCACACGGCCTGGTTTTCCAAAGCCTTGCAGTTTCAAATATTGACCTTGCGGAGGACTGGAAATTTTCCTTAGGCTATAAAGTCTCTGGTATAAGATAAAGATTTGTAACACAGCAAGGTTGGACATTATACGAAGTTATACGATGGTTGTTATAACTAGTTTGGCTGATGGTTAAATATGGATATAGTGTAAGCTCCCCCAATCCTGCCCAAGAAGAATCCAATTCTTGAAGTTTCCAGTGATAGCACCAGTTATGATCATCATTCAGACAATTTATATATACATATTATGACGTTAATACTCTGAGTGGCCATCAGATTCATGGAATGCATGACACTCAAATCTTTCCCCACTCAGACTCCACAAGAGCTGAAATCATGTACTGCAGGTGAAGGCTATTCAGAGCACTCCTTCATGGCTATGCTGGTTACAGCCGACCAGGACCACTTAATTGCCTTACTGGAATGTCATCTGGCTTGTTTCACTGAAAGTTACCAGCCTATATTGTTAAACTATAACCCCACCTATGTTCTCTTCCTGTAACTTCCTGGTCTGGAAAATAAATGCAGGAAGAGAACCCCAATTCAGTTTTAATTTCCCAAGGAATGGATGCCTCTTACTTGAGGGTTCCAGTGGGAGATTAACCACTTCAGGGTCTCTCACTGCTCAGAAGAGATGGGCTTTGAGTAATCCTTTGTGGCTGGGGTGACAAATCCATGGGGGCAAAACGACATCTATCTACAGTCACTTGGAACTTTTGCTCATGTAGGAAGTCCATTAATCATTCTGAAATAATATTCACACATTCCTCCCCCTGACAATTACTAGGGGGAGAGGCTAGTGCCATGAGGCACCTCCATCCTCCTCCCACAGGTAGCATTCTCAGACTGAGTCAGGCCCCTGTGCTCTACCCTCCCAGTGGCTTTCCTGAAGCTCCCTCTCACCAGGTTTGGGGCCATACTCATCACCCCAGTAAGAAAGGGGGACTCATAGTGTTTCAACAGCTTCATCCAAAAGCAAAATACCCTCACCAAATTCTCCCTGCCTTCCATTCCTTGTACCCTTTTGATCATTAACAAGCTGAGGGATCCAAAAGCAGCAATACCTGTCTTTGACCAATTCCTTTGAAAAATCTGCGTATGGGGATCTGGATTTGAAATTTTACTCCTATTGTATCTTGATGGACTCAGATGAAAATTCCATTTTAACATTTTATATCCACATTTATTTATGCTAAAAACTGTTTTACGTTTTCTCATTTTATCCTCACAGCAGTCATATTGTTATTAGGCCCATTTTGTTAACACATAAAAGTGAGAAAGTGGCACAACCAGGATTCAAACTTGGGGCCTTGTGATTCTAAGATTCTCTCTAACCCAGCAGGTTTAAGATAATAGATCCAGTTTTCTAATAAGACACCTCCAGTTCATGACAATAAAATTATGTTATCTGCATTCAGTTTTTTGCACTAAAATACAGAGGGCGAGAGTACATTAAGCTCCTCCAAAAACAATATGTTTCCTAAATTACAATTTTTTTAAATATCTAGAATACATCCTTGTACTCTGATATGTCTAGTTACCCATTCCCACTGACTGAATCTTGGAGCAATGTTAATTGCCCTGTATAATCATCACCAAATAGTGGGCTGTTGTTAAGATATAGAGCTTACCTTCTTAATAGATTCATGTATATGGA